TGACTTTACATGTTTCTAACGCGACGACTGAGCGAGCATTTTCAGCAATGAAACACGTGAAGACGGATCTTCGTAACAGAATGGAGGATGACTTTCTCGGTAATTGTATGACACTCTTCATCGAACGAGAACTTGCTCAAAACATAGATATAGATTCTGTTATAGATGAATTTTATGTTTCAAAACTTCGTCGGGAACAACTTCAAATTAAATAAATTTGAATTTAATTTATATATGAATTTATTATATCGACTTTTAAATTTTAGCCCGTGCGCGAAAAATTCCTGGATCCGCCCCTGCCAAGAGATAATAATGAAAAGAACAACAAAAATCAAATTAAGAACAAAAAGAGTTAACATGCCCTATGACTGTCCCATCCCAACCACGACACACTCCTAAGGGTTCGTTTAGCATGACTTTTTAAAAGTCAAAATGAGCTATTAAGATCCAAAAGCTATTTTTGGATCCGTTTGACTAATTTTATGAAAGTGTTTTCGGTACTTAGAATAGTATTTGGAAGAAGCTAGTCCAATGTGACTTTTTTTTTAAAAGTATTTCCGAAATAAGAAGTTTTTTTAAAAATTAGTTTCCAAATAAAAATTAAGTAGCTTCCTCTAAAAGCTCTTTTACAGAAAACAAAAAACAAAATGCATGTGAAACAGGTCCTAAATAAGACATACCAGCTTAGAAAATTGTACGAAACATCCATAACAATCATACTCATCATGCTAATTGGAATGAAAAATACAAGAGAATAAAGGAAATGGGCAGCCATGGTTAACATGCTTTCTGCAAAGAATAATGGCAACAGTTTCAAGACATTTCAATATTCCTACATTTGATAGGACTACAGTCGATGTTCATTTTATAATTTCACAGCCTATTACAACTACGTTTCTTCCATTGTTTTCATTTCCTATAAAAATTTCGTGCATAGATGCTTATGAAAAGTTGCAGAAATGAGTCTTAAATAACAATTACGTATTACAACTAAGAGGAAACCAACAATTTAGTGATAATTATAAGATCCAAGGGACTAAAACAGCAAGAATCAGGGTGATTCATAATCCCTATAAATAGCCTTTCTAAATTTGAAACCAAGCCATATACGTTCCAAAGTACACATCCCTGTAAGCTAATTCAAATTAAATTGAAAAAAGTTGCAAGACTCACAAAATTTAGATGACTCCACTAAAAATATGATTTGGGAAGTATATCCAGAGTTGGAACCTGAAAAAATTCCTGTATCTGCTGTCATTTAAATGCTAACCTTAAACTGCAGAAATGATTAGACTTTCTCATCAACATCAGAAGGTTCTGATAATCCTCCATGCTTTTGCTGGCTGCTTTTGGATATTGAATGGCTGCGCCTTTCCTTTCCCCCCGGTTTTGATGAGGCATTTCCATACCAGATCATTCCAACTACGGCAATGACCATGCCAAAAACTACTTGTAAATTAAGACCCTCTTTTCCGAAAAATAAGAACCCAAGAATCAATACGAGGATAGTTTTCATATGGCCAAGAACTTGAAATGAAACAGCTGTGAATCTGCCAATGCAGATGAACTGGCTGAGATTGGTACCGATTGCAATAGTGCATGAAAGGATAATGAACGCCTGCAGAAGTGAAGGCAAAACAAATAATGAGAAAACTAGTATCGAAACAGTGCATTTGTGTCTAAACTATATAATGAAGAGGGAACAATAAGAAAAGGAAATGAAAACTTGGGAATTGTGGTGAAAGTTTACATAGTAATCTGGACTTACTAGACCCAAAACCCATCAATACTGGCAAAATGAAAGCAGCCGAATTTGCAGTAATAGGAAAAATGTTACTGGCAATAGGAAAAATGTTAAAATACTTCAGTAACATGCCCAACCTAATAATAGCTTGTCCTGACCACTCCATGCTTCCATCTCCACGCAGTGTATAATCATATCCCAACCCTTCTCTTTATTTAAATTCCTAGACACAACTAAATACTCTCCAAATAAATTCATCTAATTCAAACCACTTGAAGCCGAATTACTCATTTGCTGGCCCTTTCATCCAAACGCACTTCATCTGACTCCCATCTACCCCCAAGTCAACCTTGAGTAGCGATGATTTTGTGATAGTATCCACAGGGAAAAACACCGGTTCTGAACAATTCTTGCAACTTCCCTTCCAATAATTACCTGCACCTATACTCTCTTCTCCACCCTCCACATCTCATCCCCACAAATGTAAATTCAAACTTGTTCTTCATACCGCTACATGTTGATATCTTCCATGGAACTTACTCACTGTCACTTCACAAGACAATTTGCTCACCGCCAGACCAGTGCCATTCTGCCCAAAACCCATGAGGTGTGAAGGGGACCAGGTTGATTAGTTACAAAATTGTGGAAAAAGTACTAATAACCTTCTGGTTAAACTATCCTTAATAAATAATAGCAAAAATATAGCCCACGGCAGACCCAACCCAATTACTTTTTCATGTGGGGAAAAAAAGATATATGGAATTTTTTTCTTTTACATATTAGCCGATCCTAAAAAAATTTTAGTCCAACCCTAGCTCTGCCCCTGTAACCATCCTTGATGAAGAATAGCAACACAAATAATTTGACATTAATTTCCATGGTTGTGGACCCAGAAAATTTTTAAAACAGGATAAAAAGTTTTGACAGTTATAGGTATAGGGAAGCACTTAAAATAATAGAGGTAACTAAGCAATGACAAGATGCATTAGTGATAACAATACATTATTTCTCCACAAGATCAAAACCTGAATTATAACAATGACATGTATATGGACATAACTCGTAGAAGCACTTACAAGAGATGGTATATTAAAGTCAAAGGCATCAATTCTTTTGTTTGTCAACCAATAATCCAGAAAGGGTCCTAACAGCAAGAGAGATGCAGCCTGGACTGGTGCTGTGTGCCCCAGAAGACTGAAAGAACTAAGCGAGTACTTCCTTTGAAGGAAGTGAACATACTGTAGATGCATAAAAAGGATTATGAAATTGTCTTCAGTGATTGCAGGAAAATATCCATAAAAACATAAAAAAAAGTGCAATTCAGAAATTCACTTTATAGAGGACTGCTATTGAGGCAAAACACAGCATTATTCCATTGAGGAAATATGATGCCTTCTACACAAGTATTTGCAGTTTAAATATTTCCATAGTCGTGTTTAGAAGTAGACTCAGTCAACTTCTTGCGTAATGGAAATAGAAATCTAATTACACTTCATATTAGGTAGAAAACTTACATACTGTTGCATAGATGTACTCCAGACTGCAATAAATGCAGCAATGAACCCTTTGGAGTTGACACTCACATCAGTAACTGTGCAGACAGCAACACCAAGGAGAACAATAGAGATGCTAAGTTTTGTGTCTCTCGAGTATCGAATCTTGTCAAATACAACTTCCAATAAGCAGGATACAGGGATCATAGTCAACTTGGCAATCTGAAAGTAATATGTTATATTGTTAATAAAATATTAACTTGGCATAATGTTATTAAATTGATGAAAGAAAGCAAATCATTCTCTCTGTTTTTCCCATTTTTTTCCCAGATGGAAGATGGCCAAATAGGAATGCATCAGAATCACCTGATAGAATCCCACTGAGTTCCACATTAGGCTGACATTCATCCCAACGATAGAGAAATTTGCAAATAAGACAAATTTCAAAAGCTCTGGAGTTGGTAGATGAGAAGGTTGGATGTATCCTAGCCCCCTAAGAACAACCGTCATCAATGTTGTTGTAGCAAAATGCAAACCAGTCAATGTTGTAGCTGCAAAGATTTTTATAACAGAAGACTTAAAAATGTCTCAAAATAAAAATGCAAGTATCAAATCAGAAGAACTAAGAAATATAACAGCAAAAACAACTATTATTAAGTCAGACAAGAAGAAATCCATTATCATCACACTGACAGGACTGTTATTGTAATTTTCTTCTCCCTTCCTGCAGATCTATACAATTTTATGACAATAAACTCATTGCCAATGCTAAACATATGTGGTTTCAATCCTTTGGTTTTAACTAATCCACCACGTAACTAATCCTTTAATTTTGTTGGCGGTTGGCTGAACCAATAACTCTTTAACATATATAATTATTCTCCCACTGGTGCAGGTAATTACTTCTGCACACAAGCAAACGCCTCAATCAAGTGGCTTTAGATTTGACATCGGCTTCGATTCCCTATCTTACAGCTCAAACATTATGAAATTTTATGCTCTGACAAATGTATTGGGGTGGATTTGTCCATCTAGTATGTATACTCTTTTGGGAATTTTGGGCAATGAAAGATTAAGAGCCCTCAAAATCACATAAAAGTATTTACTTCAGAAAACCACAACTTACAGTTCTTGATAGTTTCAGACATTCCCATACAAATTGCCTCAAAACAATCAGTATTTAACTTCTATTAAAGATGAAACCATAAAACATTGGGAAGCACCGAACCTGTTTCCATCACTTAGTATATGTATATAAGAAGATTTAATAATATATTTCACATTATCTCAAAAAAATTGACTAAACTACACAACTCAATCAACAAAGAATTCATTATATGTATATTAATATCCCTAGTAAAACCAATGGCTAATGAAACTCTGTTCATAATGAGCTAAGCAGCTTACAAATCATAAAAACTCCATATAGATTTTGTCTCCTTAAAATCGAGTTGAGAAATTTACCAAAACTGAAACCGTAATTAGCCATTAATGCCTTATTGACAATAATGATTCCAACTGAAGAGACTACGTTGAACATCCATGCAGCGGCATCCAATGCAGCCTTCTTATCAGCTCTGTTGGAAGGCGCCATTTCCTTAGTTATTTCTGTTACGACTGCCCTAGGGCGAAATTTTTACCCCTAGAGCAATGAAAAGATATCCTCACACCTATGCATCCAATCCAAGATTTTTCCTCTAAATCTCCTGTACAATGATCATTCATCTTTTTATTTGTCAATTAGAAAGTAATAGCATATGTGAAATGTATAGCATCAGTAAATGCACATTTCCAATAACAAGTATTCACCAAAAAAAATTAAATCTTTATATACCCGAATTGTCAATATACAAACAAAACTTATCCAACAAAGTCAGCATTTCAATTTCCAAACAAATGACACAGTAAAAAAGAAATAGTTAAACAACATCCATCACACTGATTCAGTAAAATAGGCCATAATTTACACTGATGGCTAAACAGATCCTAAGATGTTCATATCAACGGCAATAAAACAATCAATTTTCCGACAATTCAAGCACAATAACACTGTTCCATTACAAGATCCAAAATCTCAAAACCCATTTTATCAGATCACAATTAATTCCCCAAATTCCCTTCTATTAATCAGCAAGTTACAGATCTATCCACACAGCAGCAATAATTTCAACTAAATTCTCCACACATTCACAATTTAATATATATACACATAACGATGATTGTGAGAATGGTTAAAAAAGTACAAAAGGGAAGTCTCTAACCGAAATGATGGCGACTTTTGGTGTGAATTTAGTTTCTTTCAGATCCTCAACATACAGCTAATAATCAGTCATTTGTTGCTTCATGTGCTGAGTGTGTAAGCATATATATGAACGTATATACTATGTAGATATTGTATATATATATATATATTTGCAGTGAATTTGGACGAGATCATGGAAATTTATTTCGATTGAAATGAAAAGGAAGGGAGTTAACTGTTAAAAGATTTTCTTCAGCTAATTTTAATTTTCCTTTTTTTTTTTTTTTGAAATTTAGAATATTCAGATAAAAATTGCATTTTTTGTTCCCAATCTATTGACTGAGTTAAAAGTTGATTCTCAATTATAAAAAGGAGCAAGTTGGTTATCACTCTTTCAAATTGACGAGTCGTTCGTCTGAATCTTTTGTTAAATAGGAAAGTACACTTGACTACGACGGAAACTATTTTTCTGAATTTTACATTTCGAGTGGTTCGAATCTAAGGTCAATAATTTGATAAAACTTCACTCTTATTATGTGCGCTACAAATTGACCTCATACAATTGAAACTTCAAGGTCCATAAAAAATGTGGTTATATTGGCACATCGAGTTTTACTTGCTCCACAATACTTTAATTGCTCTTAAAGTCTTCAAACTTTACTTATTACAGCATTTATATCTCTAACTTTTTATGTTAAATTTTTATCTTTAAATTATCATATCTCACTGTTTATCATGGTTTCTGTCAAAATATTTAATTTTCATTCTTCCAGATAAGGGAATAATATTTTGTGGCACTTATGTATTTACTTTTTTAATATAATGGACAAATAAATCTTTTTACGCCATCTCATCAAATTTTTTGGATGCAAATTGTTAGTAGAGAGATGTATGCTAATTAATGGAATGTTTAAGCTAACAATTTGGTGAAAAATTTAAAAAACATAAGTATTACAATGAGCAAGTCTTGGTGACTATGAGTACAATTAAAATGCAGTAGATGACAAAGATGTTATTTACATTTTTATTACACGATAACAACATATTGGTTTATGTTTCTGTTGCTGCTACCATCAACACCCATCATTGTTGACCACCATGACTGCTTCCACCACAATGACTCGGCTAGAACAATGTCTCACCACCATCGCCATCACCACCACCCTCCCTACCCCGATTTGATTGCCGATTGTTGAAGATCAATTTATGATTGAAGGACCATATAATTCATTAAGATATACATCCGAGTTATTCAAATTTGACCTCAGCAGAAAGCAATGTATATATTAAGATTTAGAATTTTTTTTGGCAACGCTTACTCTTATTGCTCTTTTCATTTTTTTTTCTTATTTATGAATGCTTATTCTTATTGCTTTTCTCGTGCTCTGACTCTCATATTAGGAAAAGCTTGGGCCTTAAAATGTGCTAAAATGATGTGGAAGGTCATATAGTAAGACTTCAACCTTGACTTATTGCTTCTTTTTTTTCCCCACACCATAGAAGGTCAAATTGGGATGTCAAAATGTGCTAGATCGTTGTTCTTTAACTATTGATTAATTTCTAGGGGAATTTTTATAGATGTTGCAAAATTTGTAAATGCACCAAAAGTTGTCACCATTAATAATGGTGCCCAAGAATGACACTTTTTTGTGTGACTTGCCCAAATCACCTTTGGAGATACTTTTTTTGGTGCATTTAATGTTCATTGACGCCTTGATTTGATAATTAGACTAGTGTAAGGAAAATCATTGAATATATCTATAATCCAATTAATAATAGAATTGTTATCCAAAAATAAAAAAAATCATAATATTGTAGGTATAGAACGAAATTGTAAAGATCGACATTTCAAATGTTGAATTTGATACTTCGTAAATGTTAGGAAAAACATTTCAAATGTCGTTTTCACCGGTTTGTTATTGTTTGGTATAATTTTTCGTAAGTGCCACTTGCACGCTAATGAAGTTCGATATATTAAGTGTGCCGAATACTTATCGTTGATATCTCAAATTTTCAGGTATGAGTAATTATTTGAAATTCATCGTATATCACGATGAACATTTTGTGTTTGCAGATGAAGTTATTGCTTGATTAACAATGATGTGATGTGTTAAGAAATTATATGTCCATTTATCACTTAAACTTACAGATTCTTGATGACAATTAATGTGTATGAATCACCCAAGTATATTGTAACAATACGGTAGCATCACAATTTAAGGGAAGTTTGTAATTAAAATAAGAAGAAAAATAATGGTCAATACATTTTAAAAAGGAAAATTTAACTCCAGCAGAATTGATTTCGATATACGCGTACAAACTGTATATGCAACTTGTTTAACTAGTTAGAAGAAAATACGATTCTTAATTTATCTCATATCGGGATTGTGCAAGTAAATCCTTTGTTTAAGAGTAAATCTCACATCAAAAGCCTTATTTACAATTTCCACATGAACGCAATCAAATAGTTAACTAAATGGGAAAATACATTAGCCAAAACTAATGCAGATATATAACAGAAATAGATACTAGATTCAATGGATGTACATTGTTTTTCAAATTAAGTAACAAAACGGGCATGCAATTGTGTCACAATCATCAACATTGTTATGATAGACATGCCCGATATAGGTTATTACTTCAACAAGGTGATAAATGGATGCTGCAGTATACAAAATGTTTTCTTTGTTCAACAAAAGAGATACTCATATGTTAGTAGCATTGTGTAAATTCTTTGTCAAAATTTTCTCTATAAAATTTTGAAATATTCCCTATTAAACATATAATTGTGTAAATTTTTTCTCAAGATTTGGTTATTTAGTTGTTAACATTGATGAACATACTTAATGTTTTATCAAAAATGTTTTTCCATCATATACCTTAAATGCTATATCATCGGATGCTAATTGTCAAGATAAGAAGAAATTCTGAAGATGATAGAAATGGGAGTTGTGATTTTATTCATTGAGAAATCATTAGTATATAGTACAACTCAATAAACTAAATATGTAAAAATGAATAACAATTTCTAAAATTAAGCACATCATCATAATTATCAATCATCTTGATCAATTTGTTTCAATGATTCCTTGCTTTCCTCCATTGATTTATTCTCTTAACACTCCCCTTCCTTATTTTCTCCACT